CACAAGTCATTCAAAATAAAGAGGTGTTAGCTCCTTTAGAAATGAGTGTGGAAGAGGCAGGCAGAGAAAAATGGGAGGGAATTTAGAAGAAAGTTTTTATAGGATGTAAATTAATATAAAAATATGTTTTTTGTTGTGGGCTGCAACCTCAAAACGCTACAGCTGTCGTACTCCATCAAAAGTTTTCAAACCTACCGACAACAAAATCTGATGTCCATTTATCCACCTTAATGCTCCATGGGGTGTAAATGAGATATCTGAAGGTAGTCGTTTTGGAAATGCAGAATCCAGTTGGAAGACTCCACGGAGCCTCGAATAGTAGTAACCGTAGACCTAGATAATCAATTTAGCTAATTAAGTTTCATGAAGAATTAGTTACGACCCACTTGCCGATTACCAAATAGGAGCATCATTCCAGAGACAGGATTGAAAACAGCTGCATCAACATGTGATGGTGCGGAGGAAAATAGTTCGTCAATACGATAGGACTGTAAAATGCTGTCTTACTGGGACAAGATTTCCCGAGTTACCTACCTTATGCACTTTTCTTCCAGATAATGCGTAAACAGTTGAGCCAGAGAACAAGTAAGAAAAGGCATCACCTGAAAACTCTAATTTCTTCAAATGTCCAAGGTTTTTCTGTAAAATCATCGATACTTGGAGTATAAGCATCCACTGAGTACGGACAAGCAGCCGTTCCACCAGAGGAACCACCTCGACCAGAACTGCCGCCAAATGAACTACCACCATCTCCGCCACCGAAAGAAGGTCGATTAGGTCGTTGGGTTGTCGTAGGATCTAACAACAATAAGCAGATCTTAATAGTTGTGAAATTGAAGGGAGGCAGAATGCATTTGTTGTGTTTGAGATTTTTTTAGAAATTTTGCATTTACTGTGAATTACTGAGCATTGCGGTCAAAGCAGCATCAATTACAAAAAATTTTAAATTTTTAAAATATGCTATAAGAGTAAACATTTCAGCTTGTCAGAACATTATGTAGTAGTGACTGCTTTGAGTTACCGGCAAACAATGTTCAGCTGACATAGAGCTTCTTAGAGGAATGACTGCTGCTCCAACTACTTAAGATCATACATTGTGGCAACCACTAGGATTGGTCAGTGAGAGGGGAGAAGTTTGTTAGAAAGTCAGAATAGGAACTGAGGTAGTTAAAGTTATGAGAGAAGAATGAAAGAAGATAGTAAGCAATTTTTTTCACAGCCACCTTCAATTTGTTACTGTGTTCCAGCAGAAAAAATATTCCGAGATAGTATAAAATTTGCATTTAAATGAGAAGAAAGTTATGCTAGACAT